ATTACGTTCCGCTGATTCACAGTTAATGAGGCGAGAAGGGACCCGCAAGGCTGTCCTGCGTAAACCGAGGGCGCTCGTGAATTATACAAAAAATCCCGCTAGCCGTCGCCGCTTTCGCGTTTCTGGGATTATGAGCAATTCTTCAACGCCGGAACGTATGCAGATGAGCATCGCTGTTTGGACGGAAGTTTTGCTTGGCCGTTCATTTGTCTTGGACGGCTCTGGATTATTTGGGTTGGATGGAAGGCGAGCAAAGAAATCTGTTTATGGGTTACTCTGAAATTTTGGAAATTTCATAGTAATTTTACCTTAATGGACCAATACATTGCGGTATGGATAATTTTATTTTGATCACTGGTTAATAATGATTGCATCGAATTCTTAACACATTGAGCGTCGGCCCCGTGAAAACACGGGATTCTGAGTCTATCGTTTGAGCACCGGCCCCGCAGTAATGCGGATTTCGGGATTTCCATTTCTGGATGTGAAGAATATGAAATTAAAATGTACTATTTTACGAAAATGTATAATATTTTGAATATTTTTTTTGGCTACTCATTGATCAGATACAAGCGAATGAAGCCGGCGTTTGGGCTAAGTGGCCGATACGTTGCCGGCGCTGAGGCTTTAAATGTCTCTTATGTCGCCGGCGCTTAATGTGTTAAGACTCAGTAGTAGAATGACACCGAACAAAACGATTTACTAAAATTTCGAATGCTCTTGATTTTTACGAGCGAAATTATTCCACCGCTCAATCCTCATCTAATAGTCGATGCTCACCCGTGTTCCCTAATTACGTTCGTATTCCCAGCGATCCGTCGCGGAGCGTTTATTTCCAGCGGATTACGGCGTTATTAAAGGTATCAAACGTTTCGCGCGCACGCGGAAATCCACGGGACGACTGTTTGAATTCCTTCCCGGCGGAACCGGGGCAACCCGATTCAAAGGGAATTAATAATACGCAGGCCGCCGGGGGTGGACAACGAAGAAACATCGGGAAATTACACGCGGCGGAGCCGGTCCAGCTCCCGGAACGTTTTCCGCGAGTGATGCCGGCGATACCCGGCGAGGACCGGAAGACAGACGGAATTTAATATTTATATCGTTTTCCGAGAGCTCTCGCGGAAATTCGATAAACCCTACGCTCCTGTTGACTCGGGACTCCGGCATCCAGCCGTGTGTTTGTACGCGCATCTATCTATTTATTCATCAATCTACATGCGCCCGCCTCTTTACGTGTTTGCCCCTCGTTAATGTTTTACGCTCGCTGCCTCGGCGTCTTATTTCGATCCCGCCTTCTGCCCCGTCTTTCCACTTGTAGCTCTTGAATTTCGAAATTCTACTGTGCTCCTGGATTTCACAGGCTCCACGCTTAACACATTTGATATCGACTTAGACTTTGGAAATACGACGAGAGGTATTACGATTGTTTCAAGTGGAACAATCCTTTTCCGGAGAATTACGGTTTCCCATTGCTGGATTCTTGTTAACCACTTCTCCACGATGTTTTTTTAACTGTGATCGATGCGACTATTTTGTTAGTCATAATTCATTGAAAATAAGGGACAAGGTTTATTCTGTCAACGTGTGTTTTAAGACAGAATCATTGATAACAGGAATAATGTGTAATTTGCGTTCAAACAAATTGAATAATATTGATGTTTATTAA